CGTATTGACCTGGACACAGGCAAAATTACAGATTTCATCAAGTTTGAGACGGGTTAGTAAACAGACTGTTTTAAACTGTCTTTCTCCTTTTGTTTTTGTGATTGAGTTGCCCATCTCGATTTCCTTTTTCCTTGTGTAAATAGGCAACATTTGCATGGTGACCGGAGGTGCTAACTTGGGGCGTATTGGTGTGATCACCAATAGAGAGAAGCATCCTGGCTCTTTTGATGTGGTCCATGTTAAAGACAGCACCGGGAACAGCTTTGCCACCAGGCTCTCCAACATTTTTGTCATCGGCAAGGTGAGCACAGGGTTCAGAAGTTTGGGATGATTAAACTGTTAGCAAGCAGTTGGCTCTGCTTACTATGTGCTGTAATGCTCAAAAGGATGACTTTCTGCGCGCATTTCTATCCAAGACAATTTATGATGTCGGGAAAAATTACTTTTAAAAGTAACTCGTTACAAAATTGCGTTATTCTCTAAAGAGTGACATTGCGTTGTCTCTTTTTATAGGAAGTAATGCATTGTTTCTCGGCTAGGCTTGTATGTTTTTAATAACAAACATTGGTCGAGTGGTTTTTGGATATTTTACTGAAAAAATCCTACATATTGTACCTTTAAGTTCCCATGTGCAGTGTTATGGCCACAAATCGGCGTTAAGAATCGATTTAAATAGTACATTGTTTGATTGGTGGTTTAATGTTCTAATACATGTTCTTAGTAGCGAGGATTTTCACGTGAATAAATGCATAGCTCCGACTGTTACATGCATGTACTTTAGTGGTCCAGTGGCACAACTTTTCAGAGTTTCTGGGTTCTAATCCGTATCAAACCCCTCATCAAAACGGATAGTTCATCAGTGGTTGTATATCAAGCAGGGACACATTTGTGTGCAATTGTTTTGTGATTTCACCATAATGAATAGTCTCTCCGAAACTAATAGAAAAGACTGCGCTGGCCGCAACAGACATGCCCCACCTGCAAATGTGTTCCAGGAAAAAAACAAAAAAACAACAACATAAATTTAATACATTTTATGTATATATCTCCGTGGTTAGTCATGGCTCATGTATGGCATTAAATTTAATAAATGACATTAATAAGGCAATTAAATTTAATGTGAAGGTACCTGCAGAAACCCTGGAAATGAATATTGCCTAGCCTGGAGGAAATGCAAATTCACACATGTACAATAGGCATAACTCAGTTGTCCACATCTGTCGCCATGGTTATTATGCCAGTACAAGCGGAAACCTTTTAGCTTTTCTGGATTGAAGAATAGGAAGCAAACAATGTCCACTTTCCTCAGCAAAAAAAAAATGAGTCATTTTGGGTTTTGGACTTGTGTAATTGGATTATTGAATGTCAGCAACAAATACATTGGTTAATAAAGTGAGAATGAATACATTGGTGTGTTTTTATTCAACATTTAATAACAGTTTTGCGTAATCGGAGTTTGCATTTAACTGTTTTTATTCATTAAGGAATACTGAATCTGTTTGTGCAAGTGAGATGAATAAACGCCTGCTTACACTATTAGTCAAACTACAATAACCTTGTTTGCACAGTGCACACGACGCCTCTACACCTCAGTCCTAATTCCTCTCAACATGGGTACAGGAGACATGTCCGTCAATAAATGGGGAAACAAAGTAACTTTTATTAGTTTAAAAAAATGAACGGATAATTTGATTTTAAAAGTAATGCGTTATCTAATCTGATTGTTACTCCCCAACGAGGCACCTGACCATCTTGAAGTTTGCAAGTCCTTCATAAGTGGCCATATTTGCATCCTGAAAATCATATGTGCCAAGAGGCTTTTTTAAAGCAGTTTTACAGATTTGATCTTGCAGTATTACAAGTTTATCTTTGTACTAATGGGCGTCTCTGTCATCAGGGCAACAAGCCATGGGTTTCCCTGCCTCGTGGAAAGGGTATCCGCCTGACCATTGCTGAGGAGAGAGACAAGAGACTGGCTGCCAAGCAGAGCAGCAGCTAAGTCAACAGGACTAGCGTACACCTTGATTTCAAATAAAAAGTTATTTACAACTACGAATTGTGGTGTTCTTTTTAAATGAGTGTATGGTTCTGCGACGGTTCTAATCCCTTTTTGACTCTTCGGCCCACTACGCAGTAGTTTGAATATTCAATTTCACATCTTGACTTTTATTAGTTCTATTTATTTAGATTTAATATTTTGAATTCTTGTAGCCCTTTGCCAGTTTTTCATAGGCCTTTTTTTTCCCTCTTTCCTGTAATATACTGCTTGAACTGACATTAAACTAGTGTGTTGAAAAACTAGTGTTCATAAAGAGCTTTCTCAACGTTGCATGCATTTTGCCATTTACACTCTCCCACTAACCATATATAAGCAATGTATTGTGTGTCGTGTAATCAATTTCTACACACTTATGGTCTTAATGCACACTTTGACCAAATGCAGGAACTATTTAGTGCAAGTTAAGTGCAAATACCGGAAGTGCTAGTGTTGGGACTCTTTAACTAGTTTGAATGGTGGAGTAAGTAGTTGTATACTTACTGACACCTGGTGTCTGGTTGCGGTTTGACACTAAAGGAAGCCTTTATTGATGGCATCATAGAAATGCACTGTTTATAGTCAATCATGACTGTTTAAAACGCTTACAGGTTACTGACGTAATCTTCATGTTTTTACCCCAAAATGCTGACCCACTCATGTTGAACACTAACAGAGTCTAAAATGATGACATTCAGACCCATTAATAATATACACTAATAATAATATTAATAATATTACTTTGTGTAATCAAGTCTTCCCAAATATAATATTTAGCAAGTTCAGGTGTGTTTTAGACTGGAACTAATAAACTTTGCAGGGCCGTGGAATCTCCAGGAACTGGTTTGGGAATGGGCACTCCTGTTTTAATCTAATGTTTAAAGGAATAGTTTACAGTCATTTACTCACCCTCAAGTTTCACATCTGTATGAATTTCTTTCTTTTGCTAAAGAAAAAAATCTGAATTATTTTCTATCTTTTCTTTGATCGGATATAAAATGTTTGGAGTATAAATACAGGCCCATAGTTTGTGGAAAAGCTGCTACTGATGTGTTCAGTTTTTAAACTAAAGGAAAGTTTAACTTTGATAATAAAAGAGTTAAATAAGCAGGATGGTTTCAGCATTGTAATCCTGAACACTTATTTTAGAGTATCTTAGCATTTGCAATGTTTGAATGAGTGTGTGTTTATGAACTAGAGCTAATATTTATATAGATGGTTCTACTTTTGGATCTGTTGTTTCTATAAGACTGAAACACACATGTGTGTATGTTTTCCTCTTGTGCCACATAGCTGAGGCTCGACTCCAGAAGGCCATATGGGCCCTGCTGAGCTTCAGCCTGTTCCTCCTACAGCCCTTGGCCTGCTGGTCCACAGCAGCTCAGCACGGCTCACCTCAACACACACATTGCAGGGGCTGTCTGCCAGAACGCAATACAAACTAAAAACACAGACTCTGGTGTCCTTGAGTTTAAACATTCTGCGGCATTTGAAAGCATAATCATCCTGAAACAACTCGCCCATCTCCTTGTCCTGATGGACTTTCTGCTAGGTGTTTCTCTCATCTATGGAAGCCAATTTCTGCCACATACGGAAAAAAAGTAGGATGAATCATAATAATGGCATAAGAAGTCTATTATTACACTATTTGGACTTTTTAAATTTTTAACTCAATAATTCTGACTTAGCATCTCATGATTCAGACTTTTTGTCTTATCTGACTAGTATATTTTTAACTTGTATAGCTAGTCATAATTATATATTTTTGTAATAATTTTAACTTGTCATTATTATGATTTACCCACAGCATGATTTTGTGGTGGAAATTGGCTTACATGGTTATCACAATGGAAATAAATAATGACAAGAGTTGAAACTGACAGAAATTAATATTTATGACATTTAATATCAACATTGTCAAAAACTTGAATTTATTACCTAGATAAATCAATTATGACAAAAGTTTCACTTTTTATAACTTAACACATTTTTGACTTAAGCCAATTATAACATTCAGTGTCATATATTATTTATATTTGTACAGTTATAATTATGATTTACCAAAGCATGATTTTTTTTCCTCATGTAGTTGAAATTACCTTTCCATCATACTGAAATAAATCACTTAAATAAATAACTTAAATAACTTTAGGTCAGATTTTGAAGCATTTACTCATTTATCACCAGGTGGTCCCTCATTAAGTTAATATATCAGTCTGGCAATAGTCCAGGGACCTGTTTGCAAAAAATATAATATTATGAAAATGAAATTTGAATCTTGCCAGACCTCACTCCTCCCTCAAATCAAACTTGGCAGATACAATCTATCGCAGGAGACATGAAAAGAACCATGAACAGAAGAGCAGAAAATAGTCCCTTTCAACGAAGCGAGGGGGAGGAGGGTTGCCATGAAGAAAAGGTCCACCAGGAGTGGTTCCTGTCATGCACTCGGGCCATGTGGAGTGGGGTGGGGAACCAGGAACAATGAAGACAGTCATACAGTGAGGCAAAACAAGGCCCAGATGTTTCCAATCAATTCCCTGTATGAGATAAGGTTTCATATGAAGCCATAGAGAAACATGCCTGATAAGATTATTTAACATGGAGGACTCTCAGTCTCTCCCCTTCTCTCATCATTTTTGACTGTACGCCCTCTTTCGTCGTCCAGTGTGGAAAGACTGGATGAACAAAACATCTAGGTGAGCCAAGTTCTAGTTCAGGGTGGGGGAGCTTGCACACACACACACTAGACCAGATGTGTATTTAGGGATGGGCAAATGCAAGGTTAGAATGTGACTGGAGGAAAGGATTTTTATCCCTCTCATTGTTCTCAGGTTTGTTGGAGTCACTTGAAGCACTTTTAAACCTGATTTTTGCGAGCATGCGCAGAGCAAGGCTGCTTACTAAACGCATAGTTGAGTTTTCGTGAAAGATTCAGCTCATAGGGTCTGGTTGCACGAGTGGGTGAGGTCTCTCAGGCGCAGTTCATGAGAGTTTTGGGCTGTGATTTTCAGTGATATAGTGAACTTGAGGGCTGCAGAGCTCCTCACAGTGGACAGTCAATTACAATGCATAAAATGCCTCCACTGTACGCGCAATCCCGAGCAAGAGTCTCCGCCAACACTCTTCAGCGCCGGCGAAACACGCACTTTTAAAGGGAGTTTACCAAAACAGAAGAAAAGATGCCCTTCTGCAAGAGGACCGTAGTCCCTAAAGATGTGTGCAGAAGCGGCGGCAAGAGTCGCGGTGCGATGTTCACGGATCTGGTGGATGTGTGCGGCTTGACTCTGTGCGCGGTACTCCGGCAGCTGTCGGATTTATCCCGTCAGTCGGTGAGCATCCTGGAGGAGCTGGAGGGAGAGCTCGCCTCCATCTGCTACCGCTCCGGAGCTCTGGAGAATAAACTTATCAGCCTGCAGAAACACATCTCAGCACTGGCCACCAAGCCGCCGCTCAAACGTAGGAACTTTTCAGTACTCTTGCTGACTTATTGATGTGCGTGGATGACTTGTTTACTCACTTAATTGTCAAGTTCAAGGTCTTCTTAATTGATGTTTACATTCACCATGCAACATAAAACATCTCTTGACTTTCGTTCCTGAGCTGCTGAGCATATTTTGAGAACAATAGGCCTAACGTATTTATGAATTATAGAGGTATTGTGTTTAGTCTCTAAATGTAGGCTAGCTGCTTCTCCTCTGGCTGTAGGCTAATGTAAATATAGATGGAGGGATGATGGTCCATGGAAGGAGCAATGTTCTTTTGTTCACCACATGAACCTTGTGTTTATTTATTAAAACAACCCGTTGTCAAGATATTACCATGGTAAACTTTGGTTTCTGCAAATACATAGGCCTACCTTAGTTACGACAGTTATTTTTTCCTCTAAAGAATCCCAGGGTCAAATTTGACCCCCTCTGAAAAAATAAAAACGAAAATTAAGAATTCCCAAATTAAGGTAGGCTAGGCTAACATGCAGGTTGACCGTGGTGTTTTTTGTTTGTTTGTTTTTGGTGCCAAAGTAGGCAAAATACTTTTTAAATACAATGTAAAACCTACATTACCCTATTATAATATATTGAATATTGATGGAGTAACACCATTTGACTAAAAAGAAATGTTAAAGAATTTTGGGACACAATTTCTGCAAAGGTGTTGGTTTTCGTGGTTAATTTCTATCACTTTTGGCATTTCATAATATCTCACATATTTTATATCAAATTTCGCTATCAGTTAGTATATGGCCTAATTGCAAACAAACAAACAAACAAAAACAATTCCTTTTATTATGGCAGTAATTTTGTGTCAGTAGGCTACAGGTGTTTAGGAAAGTGCCTAAAGTTTTTTGTTGTTGTTGCCATGTAGTGTTTTAGGAGAAAGTTCCATCATAGAGAACAATATCGTAATGTGCAATTTTAGAAAATCTAAAGATATTTTTGGTTCATACAAAATTAATTACATGCCAAATGGTCAAAAGTCAGAACTGGTTCTGGAATTATACAGAAAACCTTTAATTTGGTAAAACGTTTTAAATAGCTTTTTTATTGTATTATTTAGTCTTTCTGTAATTTGTCTAATTACTTTTTATGACCATTACCAGTTTTATATCATCAACAATAATTACCATGGTGTTTTGGAAACTATGGTTACCATAATACATTTATGTAAGAGAATAAATAGCTCTAGCATCTTTTTGTAGATTAATTTGTGACATGCTAGTTTTTACTATTATAACCGCTATAGTTAATATCTAGGCTGTGTTGGAGTGCGGGGAAAATGCTGTAAAATTGCAATTGTACATCACTGCCACAAAAATACTGAACAAACAAGAGATGGCCTTAATGTTTAAACAGAAGAAATCAGTGTCATTTGACATCTATTCAAGTATTAGGATAATGAACAACACTTCTCTTCTTAATGAACAGTAAACAAATGCTTTGACCATACCACAAAGACTGTTTACCAACACATTCACACTTGGCTTTGTGTTTAACTTTCACATTACAATGCGTTGTTTTTAAATCTTTCCCATTTGCATTGGAGACGCATTTGGCATGTACTCCTCCTGACAGGATAAACCCTGCCAACTTTCACCATCTGAAGATGTGCAGAATATTTCCTCTGTCCATTTCCTTTGTCTTATCAGAGAAAGCCTCTCTGTATTGTTTACCTTAACCCTGAGCCCGGCACATTTGGCAGAGTGCTGGAGTCCTTCTTTTCCTCCGTCCTTATCATTTTCCAGTGGCAGACCACAGTGGAAACAAAACGTGGAGATTATCCTCCAAGTTCAAGAGGAGATCACTGGTACTGTATTTGTTTAAAACTGTAATGGTGAAGCATTAGCAGTTTGAAACTCTGCCATGCTTTGCCATGTTGAAGATAAATGATGTGGATCTCTGTATGTAGCGGATTCTTTGGCTGGGAACCTTCTCCACTGCGGTGTGGGGACAGAGGTCAGGTCCCTCTGGAGACTGTATGATGGGAACAGGAGGTGAAGGAGCAGACTGGACGCTTGTTTTTACAGTGATTGAACCAATTGCATTAAAACTGTCAGTTGATTCGGCTCTTCCTGAGTGAGTGTCAGTCAACTCCACTGATTACTGCCTCATTCCTCTGGCATTCATGTGAAAGTCACAAGACCACGTGTAGGTATGTGTGTGTTAAGGCAGAAAACCAAAGGAGTTCTGACCCTTAAACATGTTTTGGTTGTTTTTATGGGCTTTTTTTGCCTTTATTTGATAGGACAGTTGTGGACAGACTGGGACTTGCACTTGGGTTTCCTGCTTACAAGGCTATGGCTCCAAACCTTCAAACATTTATTTCTGATTTTTTATAGTAAAGTAAATAATGAATCAGTAATTGGTAAATATTAGAGTTTTTGTTTAATTTATCTTTTTAGTCGATATAGGATATTGAATTGTGATTTGCTCATTTCCCATATTTTCACATCTAGATAAATCAAATAAATCTTACTTAAATCTTTAAAAACACTAATAATTTTAAAACACTGTCATAGTCTTTGGCAAACCAGTTAAAATAGTTGATGTTAATTTTCATACTGTACTTTATCCACCACCTTATTTTGAAACGTGGAAGTAAGCTGTTTTCTGTGATAAGTGCAAGACTTCTGACTCATTAGCTGCTAAAAGAATAACAAAATGTAACAGTAAACGGTGAAACTTGCGCTACAAACCCATGTGTTTATCATTATGATAATTAATAAAATAATATACGCCTGGTTTCACAGACAGGGCTCAGATTAAGCCAGGGTTAAGCCTTAGTTCATTTAGGGCATTAGGTTTTTTAAACCACATAGGTTTCTCAACCATTTTAAGACAAAACTTTTCTGTTGCTTTTCAGTAAAACAGCTCAAACATGCATTTCAGTCTAGGACTAGCTTAAAGGAGTAGTTCACTTTTGAAAAAACTTTTGCTGATAATTTACTCAACCCCATGTCATCCAAGATGTCCATGTCTTTCTTTCTTCAGTCGAAAAGAAATTAAGGTTTTTGATGAAAACATTCCAGCATTTTTCTCCATATAATGACTGTTCAAATGGGGGTTAAACAACACCAGACGATGAATAAGGGTCTTATCAAGCAAAACAATTGCTAATTTAATAAATAAATGACAAAGTTTAAGTTTTATAAGCTCAAATGGTCGCCTTGCTCTGTTCTGTGATGCACGTTCGTGACTCTCCTGTTCGAACTCGTTCATCAAAATGAATGAATCTTTTTCCGAGTCTTTTTGTTCATTCAACGAACGAATTGACTCAGAAAAAGATTCATTCATTTTGATGAACGAGTTCGAACAGGAGAGTCACGAACGTGCATCGCAGAACAGAGCAAGGCGAGCATTTGAGCTTATAAAACTTAAACTTTGTTATTTTCTTATTAAATGAGCGATCGTTTCGCTTGATAAGACCATTATTCGTCGTCTGGAATCGTTTAAAGCCCTTTGAACAGTTTGCAGTTTGCACTGAAACTGTCTTTTGGACCTTGAACCGTTTGGTTCCCACTGAAGTCCATTAAATGGAGAAAAATCCTGGAATGTTGTCATCAGAAACCTTCATTTCTTTTTGACTGAAGAAAGAAAGACATGGACATCTTGGATGACATGGGGGTGAGTCAATTATCAGCAAAAGTTTTTTGAAAAGTGAACTTCTCATTTAAGCCTTGTCTGTGGAACCGAGCAATAGAAATTTAATATATTGAATATAGTTATTCGCTATAGCATGAACATATTAAATAATAATATTTATTATCTGTGCATCCCTGCTCGCAAGAATTCAGTATCTCTGTAAGTTGATGACATCATTGTTTGACGAACATTAGTGGACTGTTCTTCCTAAGCACAACCAATAAGCAATTCGGAAGTTTTCGAAATGTACTCCTACATGAATAAACATAATTTATTCTGAGCTTTATGAGTTTGTCTCCCTTGCTGAACGTTTCATGCAACTGTGAATGGTTATGTGTAGAGTGTCATGGATCTGGTGCAGATTATGATTGTAAATCCTGAAGTGACTTTCATATTAATGTTTGAAGATTTATACAGACAGAACATCCCTGACTTTTAGAGGCGAAGTGTGAAGTCGAGCCATTGCTTTTTTTCAGTGTCTTTTATAGTCTGCAAGATTAACTGGAATTTTAATAAGAGTGTGTGAGAGAGCAAGAGAGGATAGATGGAATGAGTGAGATTGAAGATCAGAGAAAGAGAAGATGGAAGGAGAAAGCGAGTGGGCCAGAGTGATCATGCTCAAAGACAAAGTAGCAAGTTTCAATTCAGCTTGAAATGCAAAAGAAACTTGTCTTATTTTTGCTCCCTTGGACTTGCCTCCTGAGTTGCCATAGAAATTATCCCTTTGCTTTAAATGAATGCCTTTTCATTTCATAAACTTAATGTCATCACCTTATTATGACACCAAGCACAAAATTAATCACCTTGTCTGGAAATAAATGCAACAGTTGCTCTACAAGTTGAAGAGCTTCCACCTCCAGAAACTCAGTCTGTTTCTTTCTACCTTTAATGTGCTCCTCGTTTCTTGGGCTAGCGGCTAAGAAGAATCGACACTGAAGATGTATCGCAGCTGTGACAAACTCCATAACTTTGGTTGTGTCTGTCTACCAGATGCCTGCAGACATAACTGGAGAAAAATTCAGCTCTAGCACATTCTCTCAAGCCAAGGTTGTGCTGTTCAGACTTTTTGTGTGTGTTTTTATGTTGAACATATGTAAGTCACTGCTCGCCTTTCCTGTCCTGGCGTCCCATCTCTAGGCAGTTGTGCAGCTCTTGGCGAGAAAGTGTTTGGCTCTGAGACTACACCATAGAGAGTGTGTGTAATACACTACAGTCCGTCCAGCTCTTACTATGACACAATAGTGTTGTAATGTAGCGGAGGTCGACATGCTTTTGGCCCCCTGACACACTAAAACATTACTAAAACAGAACGCTTTGGCT